ACTACGACGTATACATGCTTCAATCCCACATCTACTTCAGAAACGTTGTTCCTCTAGGGACAGCATTTCTTCTTTGATAGATGTTTCATGGATCAATGAAGACTATCAATCAAGACGGAGAAACTTTGCATTACTCCTCCAAACGAAAAAATTAGACGCAAGAGGACGAAGGACTTAAGAGGACGAAGGACTTAAGAGCGAAAACTACCAGCACATCAGATCGACATGAATGAAATCGTAAACACAGCTGAGAATTACCTCCATAGCCTCCATAGCCTCCATGGCCTCCATAGCCCCCGTATCCTCCATGGCCTCCATAGCCCCCGCCGAAACCTCCTAATAAACCTCCCAGGCCGAACCCCAGCTGGGCGGATTCAGCGGCGACGAGGTCCTCACCCACGGCTGCTATGCCCAGGGCCACAGCCATCAGACATGCCAGCCCCAGCAATCCCAACATCTGTTCAACGAAAATGCACCAAATTTTAGACTTGGCAGGAAACTCATTGCTCGTGTTCACTTGCGCATGCAGCAGCGATATCATGCAAGAAAAACACATGGCACTGTACCAACTAGCCTATATCAAACATAAATGAATGTTTTTACTATTGCTTAAGTATTCATTTATAAGCTTCATTCAATTTTCAATACTATGGCATGTATCGGGATTGAACCAAGGTATTATTCACGACCATGAATCCGTGAGGATTCTTCCCATATTCCGAGAACCCATAGAGCAAAAAAAAAAAAAAAAAAAAAAAAAAAAAAAAACAAAGCAAAAATACAANAAAACAAAAAAAAAAAAAAAAAAAAAAAAAAAAAAAAAAAAAGCTCACGAGTTTCATTTTGAAGGTGTGTGCGCCGTCGAAGACACGAGATGAGCGAAGGATCGAGACCGGTGTCGATGGGTCGAGTCGTCGCCGGAGAATGAAGCGAGTGAGGGTCCAGTCGAGGGTATTTATACAGGAGGGTGGGAGGGGGACATCCCCCGGACGGTCACTGTAGTTAGGTATTGTTTCACCTGGCAGTTCAAGGCTTCTTTTCCAGGAAGAAGAAACGGAAGAAGGAAAAAAAATCCATCCCTCTTTCTCCTACGAGGAACGAAGGGAGGCCGCACAATGGCCTCCTGGGATTCCCCAGTTTAATGGCGTTGACCATGTGGAGAAAGTGCACGCCCTCCATCTCCCCCCCTTGCCCCCCCTTGCCCCCCCCCCCCCATTGCTCCACCCTCCTCTATATTCACTTTATATGACTGATGTTCGCGTGTTCCACAGGTGACCGAGACCTTGAGGCCTCGGACAGGTTTCCCCCGTGACACACATCTTCCCCATGAAGTAGCCCAGCTCTGATTTAATGCTTTTTCATTATACTCGGACTTGAATGCAATCGCAACCGGACGCGGTTCACGGAACTCTTTCAGAAATTATCAGCGACTTTCGTCGTCCATCCGCTTCCTCGAATCCATCAGCAGGAAATCAGGAATAGCAACGGGAAATTGTCATTCCTGATTTCCTGCCCATTCCGAATGATTCTCGCCGTTTTTCCTTTTTTTCTCTTCCTGTTTTTGTACTCGCCGCTTTCCCCGAAGGGGGAGAGACATTTATTTGATATCGAATCTTACTGGATAAAAGTTTGAGAAAGAATTCTCATCGATGCTCATCACCAAAGAAGATCAATTTTCATCTCATCAGAAAGATTAATTTAATTCCGAGTTTTAAACTTGCTAAATTCCACTCCAAACTGCCTCCACATAAAATATTCAATAATTAAAAAAATCCGATCGAAGCGGAAACTCGTCTCCCTCATCATCTGAGATCACGGCGATCTCACTCGCGTTTCAGCGCGCCTGGGATCCCGTGGAATTCGCATAGAATTTCGCACAGCGCCTGAATTCAACAGGCAAAAATCCGGGGAAATCGCGACGTCAAATTAAATTAAATTGATTTTGATTCCGCGACGGATATTGCCGCCAGCAATGAAGGACTTCCGGGGTCGCACCTGGATCAATTAGCTTTTCGGGATCGAGCGAAGGTCGTTGAATCCCCCAATCTGTTTTGGACCTTGAAAAACCTGTCTGCCTGTTGGGAGTCCATCCTGCGCATCTTCGAACCTGTATTTTTTTTTATCTTAAAAAAAAACTGTGTTTGGAGCAACACCTGGTGGGAAAGAATTATCTTCCTCAGAAAGAAACAAAAAATTGATTTTTTTTTTCTGATTTGACATTTCACATTTTGGCACATGTTCTGGGTCTAAATATCACTCGCGCAAAATTCTCGATCGCTCTTTTCGTTCTCGATTGCATCGGGATTAAAATTCGCGGTTCATTCGTTGAATTTTGCTCCAAAAACGGAATAATTTCCGCAGATTTTAATTTTGCAAAAATATTTTGCATGCAGCAGGGAAGGCACGAGTTCCCCTGGATCGTGCGACTAAAAATGTAAAATCCTGCACAATATGTGTCCTTCATATGTTTATTTTTTTCTTCATAAATATTCCACCGTGCATGAAACACCCAAATCGCCACGGAGACAGAGAACTATTCGGAGTCGCAACTTATTGCCGCGTTCCATTCGGTATTTTCTTTCTCTTGGGCAGGCACGAAGCAAATCCATAAAGGGGATTAAGGCTTGAGGGTCTGTTAATCCGCTGGAGGCCTGCACGGGTCCGCTTTTTCGAACCAGATCGGCCCGATTCGAGTCGACCCGAAAGCCGATCGCCGGGTGTTTCTCATAATTTTTTTTTTTCATTTTTTTTTCATTGATTTTTCATTGCCCCTCATGTGTTCCGAATCCGAACAGCCTGTCTCGTTTGAATGCAATAGAACGGAGTTCGATTAAAATTTGCATACAGGCGATGGGCGATGCATTCTTCAGTAATGATGCAAATGTTCTGAACTCCAACGCTGTGTCTCTTTTCAATCCTGTAGGATGGAAGTCGATTGGCTTGGATTAACCAGGCGGTTAGTGGCGACATCGTTTTCAATGGCGTCTCGGGAGCCATCTACTCGTTACAAAGAGAATTGCTTCTTTCCGATTGGAAGTCGCAGATCATTTGTTTACGAAGACACAATGGTTGAACAGATTGGTCGATTGATTATTATTAAAACAAAGAGGTTGAATGAGTGTATTTGAATTTTTAAAGTAAAATAATAAAAAATGAAGTATTCATATCTAGACTAATTCAAGACTGCGATGCTGCAGTTCGTTCGGACGAGAAGAGAAATCGCGTTCTGTATTCCCAAGAAACAGCGTTTTTATGTCATTCACTGACTTGGAATAGAGTTCATCCGTTTCTAAGGGCGGATGATTCCAATTGGCAAAAGGGAAAACACTTCATCGCTCTTGTTCGACATTAAAATAGCTCATAATTTCAATTTCATTCGACGATTTCGAAATTCCACCCTAAAAGGATCAAGAGAACGTAAATATTCCGTAGGTAACAAGCAGTTCAGTAATGAAACATTTTTTCCATTTCTCGAGTTTCCGAGGCTCATGGAGATCCTCAAGTTGCGTTCCGAACGGTCAAGAGAAATTGCCCAAGCTTTCCTCAATTGAAAGGAAATGTCAAATTTCCCGCCAATCAATGGGATCTTTTCCTTCCACAGATTCTTAGGAGACAGCCTGAAAATTGTGGTAGTATTCTACACGCATGACTCATCGTAATCACGTAATACACGTGATTGCTCAAGAGCAGTCCAAACTGCTTCTGAAAATTTAATTTTCTCTCATGTCGAAGCTTAGACAAGCCTCGATCGCCAAGTCTGCATCATCATAATGAACGGACAATGAGATACGAAATGCTCTCAGGCATTTATTCAGAATGAGAAAGACGTTCCTGGAAGCGCAGGAAACACAGACCGCCGTGTCAGGCAGTGTGGCTGACAGTGCAACGAAAAGAGAACAAAGAGGCACAGAGCCTGAAAACGTGTCGAAAGCGAAAGGCTTTTTGATCCGTGAGTGCATGCGGACGGGACTGTGAAAGGCCGACGGACGGCGGGGGTGGCTGGGAGGGCGTAGGAGGAACAAGAAGATGCTCGGCCGTGATGGATGGATGAGAGAGGGGAGGTTCTTCAACGGTAGTAGCCGAAGTGGGAATGGTGGTGGTGGTGGTGCCCGTGTCGGTATGGTCCGAATCCGCCGAAGTATCCGCCGTAAGGCCGGTAGAATCCTGAAAAAATGGGGAGAGTAGTAAAAAAAATGTCTCATTATATTTTTCCATAGTACAAACATTCCGAAAATATACATAGTTCTGTCCTAAAGGCGTGATTTTGTTAATTTAAGACGTTACCATACCCACCCTCGTATGTACTATTAAAAAAAACTACTCTTTGAGAGGTCTACTATAGCCCCACAGTTATCACGCCACAGTTATCGTGAAAAGGTCAAAACTTTCAGCACTTTTCTCTAGTCATTGAATTTTAATGTGGGATACCAAATAACCAAGAGGAATCCTTCAATCAGGATCAGGACCTTTCTCAACAGCGATCGTTATTTAATCAATTTAACTTCTTCCGCCCCTATCAGGGGATTCATTCGGATCCATCTCTCCTCGAGGACTAAGCAAAGCCCAGTCCAGCGTCTAACCTCCTTCAACTGCGCCGTCACAACTGACGCAACAGACTTCTCAACGCAGCACGGAGAAGGGAGCAAAGTCCCCAAGCGTGCATGACGGAATGTCCAAGGATAGCAGGGAGTCTTACTGTTTCGAGTGCGTGATCGCAGGAAGTGTGGCCGAGAGCCAGAAGGTCACCGGGTCCACGAGTCCACAAGAGACCATGAGAGACCTTGAAGGAGGGTCTACGAGTATCATCTGGCCTGACATCTATTGTTGCGCAAGACATTGTCTCGCCGATTTTAAGACAATCTCGCTTTTTTTGCTACTACCTCAAAGTAGATGTGCCGGCGGTATTAAGAAGGTAGGACCATATTTACCGTTTACATGTAATGTATCATTTTGGAGCATGCACGAACGAAAGGGTGAATCATAGGCGTGGGTAGCTATATCGGCGAAGACCATTCTGCACCATGATTCTCACAATAGAATGCTATTGAATCTCATATTAAACAACAAACGGCGCCAGCCAGCTATTATTAGTAGGCATAGGTCCATGTACAGTTATTCCCTGTGATTATTAGGCATTCAGCACATCACAAGAAATGTCACCCGTCATGACAATCTCGATATCGAGAGCCTCGTCACCTGCAAGGTCTTCATCATCAGATTTCTTAGTAAACAGGAAGGAGAATATCCTGTTCGATGGACAAGACATTTTCCTTCCAAATCGGATGATTTTGTGGTATTTATTCAACTTAGAACTGAACACTCTCTGGTTCCCCAAACTTCCGCCTTTAGATCATTTGATTTGGGTTCACGAGATTTCACGGTTCCTCATGCACTCGAATCTTTTAAAGGGAAGGAGGAGATCATTCCGCAATTTATGCAGGAAACGATGAATGAATAAAAGCCTGGATGAACTTCCACAATGTAATGAATTCAGATAATCAGCCAGAACTTTCTAAAGCTCCCGGAATCCATTGCGCAAAATTCTGAAATCTCTTCATACCTCCGATATCCTCTCAATTTAGGCAGAAATCTACTAAACACTCGATTCACCTGATGCTCTCACCTCTCTAAAGTCTACCTCGCGACTGCCACATGCATTCCCATAGAATTGTCAAGGGTTCGAGGTCTTCCAAGAGATTACGTCATCGGATGACGTCAAACCTACGGCAGGGGTGAGAGGGTCCGACATCCTCGCAGTCTCTCCAGTGCTCCCGCCTGCAACCTTGCATCGCGACTTCGCCTTGGCTTCCTCGTGGGTGAGTTAACCTTTTGTTTTTCCATTGCTTCAGACGTGGTACTTATTTTCAAAAGCTTAGGAAGAAAGATAGCACTTAGATTATCGTCAATTCTTTCAGCACTCAAAATATGAGTGGTAAGCAATGGCATTAAGATAAACTCGACGCAATCGAAAATGGCTAAGTGTGATACCGTCAATCCAAAAAGTTATTGGACGGTAAGGAGTCGCATTGCGGACAGAACCTTCTCATTAATTCTCCCCTTTCCCTTTTCTGCCGAAATGTGGAAAAAGATTCCGCCGGCTTTCCTGGTGGTGCATATTTCGATGCTTCGAGGGAGTCAGAGGAAATTAGATTTTAAGTTGTAATGTTATCGTCACCCTCATTACTCTGTACGGTATGGATGCATTTCAAAATCAGAAAAAAGGGAATTTGAAATACCTCCATAGCCACCTCCTCCAAATGGTCCAAAGCCTCCGAATCCAAAGCCTCCGAAGGTTCCATGGACGAGGGCCAGGGTGACAAGGCAGACCAGCAATCCCAACACCTGCACAATGCACACCAAAAAAAGTGTTGAAATTGTCAATGCCGCGCCTGGTAAGTCTTCCAGTAAACGACGCGAAGAGCTACGCAAGCATAATAAAGAAAAAATGAATCGATGCAATCATAGAGGACGTGGCAAAAACTCTTAACTTTGCGTCCATGGATTTACTGGAAATACTTGAAGAATGCAATGTCCAACAGGCTGAAGTGAAACCACTCAGTTGAGACCCTTGGAATGTTTGCAATTTTCATTTTCTTCTAAGCCATCGCTCATTGCCTTTCTCATGGAGAAGCGGGTGATTGAGGAGAAAAGAATCCAGACGACAATATTCAGTACAGTTAGAAATGTATGAAGCTGTGCACAAATGTTTTTAAATACCCTCCCTAATAGCGGTGGTCGTTAGAGATCGTTCTTGCCATCGCCAGAATTTAAAATATAATTGATGAAATTTTGGATCAAAATTTAATATATTTTCATCACTGAACTGGAAAGCCTATCGCTTTACGATAGGTAAAATCTGACCGGTTAAGGACACGACTGAAAGCGTATGAAATTGAGAAGCTTTCCGAGCTTGCACTTGAATAAAGAGCATTAGTCATGGCCTCGAATAAAGCGCCTTGATCATGATCTCAAATAAAGGACACCGGTCATGGTGGAGAATGCCACGTCCCGACAGGACTCTACTCGCCAGAGCTCCTAACCAAAAGAAGGCGAAACTCACGAATTTCATCTTAAAGATGTGTTTGCAGACGAATTGACACTGATGCAGTGAAGTGCAGTGACCACAGAGAAACCAAGACTGCTGCTCTGGTCCGATTGCAGATGATCGACTGTGAGGTGGTCCCGCTTAGGTTGGGGGTATTTATACGGGAGGGTGGGAGGGAAAATGTCCCTGACATAGGCATTCATATCATCTCACCCTTCAGGATAAACATTCAGGGTTTTTGTCTTTTTTTCCCCGACCAATCCTCTTCGTGGAAGTCGGGGGCTGGACAGTGGTGTGGACGATTTCCCCCCATTGAATTAATGGAAATTAGACAATGTGGAGGGGATTCTTGCACAATTCCCTTGACGCCCTCACAATTGATCAGCGCTTAGCATTCACGGGCGAGACCTTGAGGAACTTCTGTGTGTGTAAATTCTGATAATTTACATGCCGTGCTCCCCCGATAATGGGATTCCCAGTTTCTGAACTCCAACTTTCAAGGGCGGCGACACAAGAAGTTGAACGCCACCCATTTCATTAAGTCCCTTTGGGAAATTTATTATGGGAATTCGCCAGTTACTAATTCTCTTGCTTACGTTTTCCTCAGCTTTCCCTCGTTAGCTTACCCGTATTTTTGAACGAGGATTCCACGCCTGGCAAGGCGGTCCAATTCCATGAAATCCCTTGAAATGTGGAAAATATTCCCCTTACGTAAGATGACCGGATGACGCTAGGGAATTAGTCGATAATGACACGGGCCCCTCACATGAGCACTTTGCGGGAGACCACTCAAAATCGATTGCTCTAAAGACAGATTCCGCTAGAAAATCATATCTACGATCGTATCACCCTCAAACCCCGCCACGCACGCTCGCACACGTGGGCATCCGCCCTGGAATATTCCACGCTGCATATCTACCGCGTATCTACGTGTGTCCTCAAACATATACGCAATAGCCGTTAGCCTCGAACGGGTTTTGTCCGGGATGCACCTAGTGCGCATTAGGTGGAATTCAACCTATTTCTCATCCTGTGAAACCACAACAAATCGTGATCGTTTACGTTGTAGAAAATCATCACGAGTTGTTGATTACGTTTTTGTTACGTGGCGTAAATTCGACGTGAAGGAAGTACTACGTATCATTTTAATTTTATCGAACAAAATGCGGAATGGTTTCTAGAAATTTCCATTGCACGAAACATGTTCTTTGAGATTTCGATATTGCTTGTCTTTATCGTTTCCTCGCCTTCCATAAATACATACACAAAATCACATTTTATTATCCCTTGCGCACGGCGCCCAGAGTAGGTAATTGAAGGTAATTGCGATGTATGGATTCATGCATCTGGCTGTACATTCAAGTTCATACTTGGTGAGCATTCCAATTACCCGCCATGAATTAAATATCCTTTCAACTTGTTGAAATCACCTCAAGAGATCTTGGCCCAACCTCGCCGCTAGTCTCTCACGAACCATTATGAAACGACTCGAGAGAAAGGGAAAAGGGAAAAACTTGAACCTCCAATGGCCTCCAATGGCCTCCAATGGCCTCCAATGGCCTCCAATGGCCTCCAATGCCTCCCATGGCATCGTCATCGTTCCAACTTCTTCCCTCATTTGACAGGTTTTCTCTGCATTGCCCCATCTCACGACCTGGAAACTCTGCTCGATTTTTCCGCACAACTTCAGAAAATTGTCTTCCTTGTCTCATCTATATGAAACGGTTACCTTCAAGGTAACCGTTTCGGGCGGTTAGTGTGTCCCCATATCTACCATTTAAATTGAATTGTTTGGCAAATTTTCTTCCTGAATATTCATCCCATACATTTTAAATTCTTATCGATCGCATGGCAAGTTAGCACGAGCTCGTGTACTAAATATCATAGGGATTACTCAACTTCTTCGTGGTCGTGTTTTTTTTTATTAGTGCAGCGTGCACGGTTGTCATGTGCTCGATGCAATCCATTTCTGTTTTGTTTGTTCTCATCGATTGCACTGACTAGACGAAACGGGTCGATTCCGCATGCTAGTTGATAAGCTGTTAAAAGAAAAAGTTGGTAAATTGTATTAAAAATCGGATGTAATTTGTTACAATATGTCACGTGTGCACAATATGGTTGAACAACATGTTCAACGCCTAATACGTTCATGACGACGTACAAAATATCGACTACGTTGTTTCAGAGTTGATTTCATCTCGAGGAAAAATATCGGAGCTCATTCTGCTCATTTCATTGTTTTAAAGCAAAGCATAAATAAAGCTGTAATATGTAGACTAACTCAAGAGTGAAATATTGCAATGCGTCCGGCCAAGAAGAGGAATCGCATTTCGTTTATTTGCTGAGTGCATATTTTTCTTAATTGTATTTTCTTGTCTGACTAAGAATAAATTGAGTTATTTGTTTCCAAGGGCGGGTGATTCCAATTGGCTAAAGAGAAGAAAAAAATGTGGGAAACCTTTCATCGCTTATATTCGATGTAATATTAGCTCATAATTTCAATTTCATTCGCCGATTTCGAAAGACCATCCTCGAAGGATCAAGAGAATGTGAATATTTCGCGGGTAACTAGTAGTTCATTAGGACATCTTCCATTTCCTGAGTTTCCGAGGCTCATGGAGATCCTCGAGTCGCGTTCCGAACGGTCAAGAGAAATTGCGCTAGCTTTCTTCAACTGAAAAGAAGTGTCGAATTTCCACCAATCAATGGATTCTTTTTTTTCTCAGATTCTTAGGAGACAGCCTGAAAATTGTGTTAGTGCTATCCCTCGCATCACTCATCGTTATCACGTCCATTTTCAGCACCGATCCAAACTACACCTGAAAATTTAATTTTCTCTCTTGTCGAAGCTTAGATAAGACTCGGTCGCCAAGTCTGATTCTTCATAATGAACGGACAATAAGGTACAAAATGCTCTCAGGCGTTTATTCAGAACGAGGAAGATGTCCTTGGCAGTAAACACAGACCACCGTGTCAGGCAATGTGTCTGACAGTGCAACGAAAAGCGAACGAAGAAGCACAGAGCTCGAAAACGTGTCGAAAGCAAAAGGCTTTTTGAGCTGTGAGTGCTCGCGGACGGGACTGTGAAAGGCCGACGGACGGCGGGGGTGGCTGGGAGGGCGTAGGAGGAACAAGAAGACGCTCGGCCATGATGGATGGGTGAGTGCGGGGGGGGGGGGGGGGGGGGGNGGGGGGGGGGGGGGGGGGGGGGGGGGGGGGGGGGCAGCTCTTCAGCGGAAGTAGCCAAAGTGGGAATGGTGGTGGTGGTGGTGCTCGTGCCCGTAAGGTCCGTATCCGCCGAAGTATTCGCCGTAAGGTCGGTAGAATCCTGAAGGAAAAAAAGGGGGATAGTGATAAAAATAATAATCCTTTTTTTTTCCCCGTGTTCCAAAAATAATAATAGCGCTGTCCTAAAAAGGTGATTGTGTTTATTGAATGCGTGATCGCATGTACTATCCCCCCCAAAAACTACTCCTTGAGAAAGGATCAACAATAGCTATACAGTTAAGAGGTCAAAACTTCCAGCTCTATTCTCTAACCATTGCATTTTAATGTGAATACCAAGTAACCAAAAGGAAGCCTTTGATTAGGGTCAGGACTTTTCCCAACAGCGATAGCTATTTAATCTATTTAACTTTTTCCCTCCCCTGCCAGGGAATCCAACCAGCCTCGGAAGAGCTGAGCAAAGCCCAGCCCAGTGTCGAAACTCCTTCACCTGCGCCATCGTTATTGACGCAATAGACACACCAACGCAGCACGGAGAAAGGAGCAAAGACCCCAAGCCTGCATCGACGGAATGGCCAAGGATAGCAAGGAGTCTTCGTACTTCAAGTGCGTAAAGTGTGACCGAGGGCCGGAAGGTCATCGGGTCCATGAGAGACCAAGGAGGAGGGCTTACGAGTTTAAATCTGGTCTACCGTCTATTTGCGTCGATGATATTTTCTCACCAATTTCGAGACTATCTCAATTCTTTTCTATGCCAATAACTCGAAGTTGATGTACCGGCGGTATTGAAAAGGTAGGACCATATTTACCGTTTAAATGTATTTTATAATTTTGGAGCATGCACGGACGAAAGGGTGAATCATGAGGGTGGATAGTTATAACGGCAAGGACCATTCTGCAACGTGATTTTCGCATTAGAATGTTATCGGACCTCATAATGAACAACAATGGGGGCTTGCCAGCTATTATTAGTAGGTGTAGATCTATGTACAGTTATTCTCTGTGATTATTAGGCATTCAGCACATCACTAGAAATGTCACCCGTCAAGTCAATCTCGATATCAAGAGCCTCGTCACCTGGAAGGTCTTCATCATCAGATTTCTTAGTAAGCAAGAAGAAGAATGGTCGATGGCTTAACTTTGAGCCGATCGATGTAAATTTGTATAAATTTGGACGTTCCCATTACCAGAAAGCAATATTTACAACTAAATTTCACACTTCTTTTTTTTTCCACTGCAATACTTTTTTGTGGATTTTCAAGTTCTCCCTCAGGGAGAACTTAAAAATAAGGGTTCCCAATGCAATCGAATCTTTTAAGGGAAAGGGAGAGGAAAGACTCAGCACAAAAAATGAGTGGAAAGTAAATGTGTCAGTATAAACTCGAAAGGAATGACTGTGAATCAAAAAATGAATTAGAAGATAAGGAGCCCCATTGTGGATTGAACCTTCTCACCACATCTCCCCTTTCATTTTTCTGTCGAAATACAAAAAACTTTCCTGGGCCCGTTCCTTTCGCAGCCTCGAGAGAGTCAGGAGGCTATTTGATTTTAGGTTCGAAAGTTATCGTAACCCTCATTAGTCAATACAGTGAGGATGCCTTTCTATATCAGAAATCAAAGGAATGGAATTTGAAATACCTCCATAGCCATATCCTGCATACGGTCCAAAGCCTCTGAATCCTCCAAGGAAGGTCCCATGGACGAGGGCCAGGGTGACAAGGCAAACCAACAATCCCAACACCTGCACAATGCAAACCAAAAAAAAGGTTGAAAATTGTCAATGCCATGCCTGGCATGTCTTCCAGTCAAGGAAGTGAAGAGCTACGTAAACCAAATGAAAATATGAATCGATCAATCCTAGAGGACATGGCAAAAACAGATTCTCAGATTTGAAGCCATTGATTTACTGGAGACACTTGAAGAATGCAGTTCCACAGGCTGAAGTAAAGCCACTCAGATGTGACAAGAACACATGGAATACTTGCGATTTTCGTTTTCTTCTAAATTATCGCTCATTGCCTTTCTCGTGGAGGAGCGGATGATGTGGGGAAAAGGATCTGGATGAAAATTATCAGTAGTGTTGGAAAAATATCAAGCTGCGGACGGAGAATTTTTTTCCCGGAAATACTTCCCCTAATACCGGAGATATTGATATATGAGTTCAAATTCATAGAGCGTTTTAACCATCGCCATTATCTTCTAATATATATAGGCGATCATGACCGACTGACTGACTGACTGACGCTAATTCTAACAATGTTCCAGAGGATTTATAAATCTGAAACTTGGTACATTTGTACCTTTTGGAATGCAGAGTTCAGGAAAAATCCAACTTTGGAGGTACATGCCCTGGGGGCACCCATTTTGGGGGGACATGTTTTTAATTATATATATTTGCTTCAGTCAAACTTGGCATGGACTACTATGACACTCAGTTCAGGAAAAATATCAAGTTTCAGATGCATGTCCTGGGGGCATATTTCTGGGGGGTGACGTTTTCAAATAATTTTTTTTCCTACCTAATTGAGCAAAGATAGAAAGGTGAAACTTGATACATAAGTATCTATTGGAATGCTAAGTTTAAAGAAAATAAGGCTTGGAGTTCTTGAAATTTCAAGACAATACATTTTCAAATAATTTTTCTTTCTCATACCGAATTGGGCAGAAATAGAAAGGTTAAACTTGGCACACCAATAACTGAGGTGATCGTGAGTTCAGAAAAAATTCAAGTTTTGAGGTGGATACCCTCAGGGCACAGCTTTTGGCTGCATCGGCTTTTCCGAATATAACTTTGCACCAGCAAAATGAGCAAACAAATAAGGCTGAAACTTGGTATGTATCTGGTTCTAAGAGTTCTGATTTCAGTAAAAATCTTAATTTTTAGGAAAATCCCCTGAGGCCACATTTTTGGCAAAAGGCGCATTTTCCAGAATCCTATTTGATCCGATAAAAAAGGGAACTAAAGAAATTTGAAAGTTGGCTCAGAAGTACCTGTTCAATTGCTGAGTGCAGATCCTACTTTTCAAAGATGGCCCCTCATGGCAGATTATATGATGATTTTTGAAGTTAGTCACTCAAGAAACAATCAGAGTAATTATTTCGATAAAAAATATTGGTTCGTTCTTTCTCGATACGCATTTTGAGAAACACATACTTTCAATACGTTTTTGCCACCTTGAAAATAAATTAATGAATGAATCTCTATCTCGGACAATGGCAAGCCGAAGGCGCGACCATAGGGAATTTGTTTGCCAGAACGGCAAACAAACTCGCTAGTTTAAAATATACTTGGATCCAAATTTAACATTTTTGTAAAACTTTCATCATTGAACCTAAAAGCCTATCGCTTTACGATAGGTAAAATCCGATCGGGTAAGGGCGCGACTGAAAGCTTATGGAGTTGAGAAATTTTCTGAGCTTGCTGTTGAATGAAGAGCATTAGGCATGGCTTCGAATAAAGCGCCTAGGTTATGATCTCAAATAAAGGGCACCGGTCATGGTTGAGAATGCCACGTCCCAACGTCTCTTCTCCACAGAGCTCCTAGCTGAAAGACGAAACTCACGTAATTCATCTTGAAGATGTGTGTGCAGACGAAAAGGCACTGATGCAGTGAAGTGCACTGGCCACAGAGAAACCAAGACTGCTGCTCTGGTCCAATTGCAGATGATCGACTGTGAGGTGGTCCGCTCCGGTTGGGGGTATTTATACGGGAGGGTGAGAGGGAAAAATGTCCCTGACATGGGGATGCATCTCATCTCACCCTTCAGGATAAACATTCAGGGTTGTTGTCTTTTTTTCCCCGACCAATCCTCTTCGTGGAAGTCGGGGGCTGGACAGTGGTGTGGACGATTTCCCCTAGTAGAATTTAGGCAAATTGGAGAATGCGGAGTTTCTTGCGCAATACCCTTCACCCACGCAATAAATCAGCATATTGCATTCACGGGTAGGAGCTTGGATAAGTTTTGTGTGTGTAAATTCTAATCATGCACATGCCGTGCAAGTCCCACAAAGGCATTCCCAGTTTCAGGACTCCGACTTACAAGCGTGGCGAGACAAGAAGTTTTTATATTGGACGACCCTCATTTTATTAAGTCGCATTGGGGAATTCAATATGGGAATTCGCTAGTGGGTTAATATTTATTTTACGGATATTATCCTTGCATTTTCCTCGTTTGCTTACCAGTTTTTTTGGCGTTCCATTTCCGTGAGTTCGCTAGGAATGTGGAAATATTCTCCTTACGTAAGATGTAAGATTCAAGGATGACATTAGGGAATTTAGCAGGTAATGGCACGGGTCCCTTACCTTACCACTTCGCGGCGACCAGTAACAAAATCGATTCCCTAAAGAAAAATTTCGCCAGAAAATCCCGCAACCAGAAGAAAATCCTATATATCCACGATCGCACTACCCTCAAACCCCGCCACGCACGCACGCACACGTGGGCATCCGCCCTGGAATATTCCACGCTGCATATCTACCGCGTATCTACGTGTGTCCTCAAACATATACGCAATAGCCGTTAAGCTTGAACGGGTTTTGTGCGGGACGCACCGAGTGCGCCTTAGGTGGACATCGACCTATTTCTCATCCTGTGAAACCACAACAACTCGTGATCGTTTAGAAAACCATCAATCACGAGTTGTTGATTGCGTTACGTGGCGTAAATTCGGCGCGGAGGAAGTACTACGCGTCATTTTAATTTTGCCGAACAGAATGCAAAATTGTTTATAGAACTTTCCATTGCAAGAAACACGCTCTTTGATATTTCGATTGGTCGTCTTCATGGCTTTCTCAGCTTCCCAAAAAAGATTTAAAAGATCACATTTCATGACCCCTTTCGCTCAATTTAAAGCGACAAAAGTAGGTAATTGACGGTAATTGCGAGGCGTGGATCAGCTTCATGCATCAGGCTGATACACGCATCAAGTTAACGTATGGTGAGCGTTCCAATTACCCTCCATGGATTAAACATACCAACATCAATTCGTTGAAATCACCTCCAGAGCTCTCCTCTCGGCCCTGCCTCGCCGTTAAGTCTCTCGACAACTAATATGGGTCGAGAGAAAGAGAAAAACTGGCGCCTTCACATGCGCCCTTATCTATCCCAATTCCTCGGGCATTTGGCAGGTTTTCCCTGCTTAGTTTCATCGCGCGACCACGAAACTCTGCTGGATTTCTATGCACATCTTTAGAAAATTTTCTGCCTTGTCTCATCTAAAAAAATTTCAAGGTGACCGCGATTAATATGGCCGCATGCATACCATTGAAATTGGATTTTTTTGGCCAATTTTATTCCAGAATATTTCATCCCATAATTTTGAAACTCTAATCGATCGCACGGCAAGTGTACGAGCTCGTGTGCTAATTTTCATAAAGATTGCTCCTTCATGTTTGATTAGGGCAGTGTGCATGGTTGTCATGTGTTACATGCGATCGATTTCTCCTTTGTTTATTTTGATCGATTGCGCTGAATAGACGAAACGGTTCAATTTCGCATGCTAGTTGAATGGCTGGTTTTTTTTTAAGTTGGTAAATTATATTAAAAATTGGATTTAACTTTTTACGATATGTCATGTGTGCGGTAGTTCAACGCCGAATACGTTTATGACGACGTACAATATATCAACTACGTTGTTTCAGAGTTGATTTCATCTCGAGAAAAGAGACCGAAACGCATTAAGCTCGATGTGAAGGCGGATCCCCAAAGAGCATTTTGACGCATGTTCTGGTTCGAAATATCACTCGTAAATTTCTCGATTGTCCACGGCTCCTCGTTCTTTCATTTCTGGATCCATCGGGATTAAAAACTGTGTTCATTGGATGTTCGTCGATTTTTGCTCCAATTCTGCTGGAAACTCGGCATGTGGATAGATGTCGCTAGGTGCAGACTAAATTGTTTCATGAAGAAATACGTTCCAAAAATAATTTTAAAATGTTTGCAAATTTTAATTTTTGCCAATTTTTGCTCACAGCGGAAAAGCCACGAATAACCGTCGGCTCCTCTGTATCGTGCGATTAAATAATAAAATTATTTACAATTATTTAAAAATTATGGCCCTTTGTATATCTGCTCTCATTTTTCTCTTCATAAATGCTCCACCACGCGGAATCACCCAACTCACCACGAATGCATTCTATCTGAGAACTATTCGGAGTCTTAACTTATTGCCAAATTCCAATTGGTATTTTCGGGTTTCTCGGGTTTCCTACAGCACTCTCTTTAGAATTCACACTGAATGCCAAATTTCATATTTCCTTCTCTTGCTCCAGAAAGGGCATGAAGAGAGGACAGGGCATAAAGGAAGAAAATCTACAGTGTTTAACACAAGCGGAGATTTTGTAGTTTGTGGATCTATCTGTCCGCTGGAGACCTGCATGGATCCACTTTTTTGAAGCCAGATCGACCCTATTTGAGCTAATCCGAAAGTCGTTCGTCAAATGTCCAGGATTTCTCAAACTTCATCGATTTTTCATTCTGTGCCCTATGGGTGTTCCGAATCCGAACGGACTGTCTCGTTTGAAGATTAGCGAAAATTTGCATTCAGGCGATGGTGTCTGATCCCTGATGACGGAACGAATTAATGCAACAATGATCCATCGCGTGGTTCTTCCGAACGTAGTATCTCTTTTCAATCTGATGGGACGGAAGTCGATCAGCTACAATAAACTGTGCCGCGGCTGTTGCCAATCGACATCGTTTTCAAAGGCGTATCAGGAGCCATCCACGCATCACGAAGCGAAACGCTTCTTACTGATTGGAAGTCGCAGGTTCTTTGTTTCAAAGACATGATGGATACTGTAGGTGAGAGAGTGGCTTGAAAATGCTAAAATTGGACAATTTTACCAATTGAACAGGTAATCCAGGTAGGTTGGTCAAGGTAGGTTGATCAGGGTTATTACTAAAACACAGTAGTTGAGTAACAGTAGTTAATTGATTTATAGCAAAATAAAAATAAAGCTGTAATATGTAGACTAATTCAAGAGTGCGATGTTGCTATCCGTCCACTCGAGAAGAGAAATTGATTTTGTTTATTCGAAGAGAAATATTGCGCATATGTTTCCTGTTTTTTTTTTATAGTCTGACTGAGTACTAGTCTGAATAAACTGAGTTATTATTTGTTTCTAAGGGCGGATGATACGAATTGGTAAAAAAAAAATATAAAAAAATAAAGAGGGAAAACTTTCATCGCTCCTGTTCCATGTAAGAATAGTTCATAATTTCAATTTCATTCATCGATTTCGGAATTCCATTCTGCAAAGCTCAAGGGTATGTGAATATTTCGAGGGTAACTAGAAGTTCATTGATAGAGCATCTTCCATTTCCTGAGTTTCCGAGGCTCATGGAGATCCTCGAGTCGCGTTCCGAACGGCCAAGACAAATTGCGCAAGCTAAATTGAAAAGATATGTCAAATTTCTGCCAATCAATGAATTCTTTTTTTTTCTCAGATTCTTAGGAGTCTTACTTACAGTCTGAAATTGTGGTAGTGCATCCCTCGCATTACTCATCATAATCTCGTAATACACGTGATTGCTCAAGAGCATCCCAAACTGCTCCTGAAAAGGTAATTTTCTCTCATGTCGAAGCTTAGAGAAGAGTCGATCGCCATGTCTGCATCATCATAATGAACGGACAATGAGGTACGAAATGTTCTCAGGCGTTTATTCAGAATGAAGAAGACATACCTGGCACTAAACAGACCGTCTTGTCAGGCAATGTGGCTGACAGTGCAACGAAAAGAGAGCAAAGTGGCACAGAGCTCGAAAACGTGTCGAAAGCGAAAGGCTTTTTGATCTTTGCGTGCATGCGGACGGAACTGTGAAAGGCCGACGGACGGCGGGGGTGGCTGGGAGGGCGTATGAGGAAAAAGAAGACGCTCGGCCACGATGGATGGGTGAGACGACCCTCCGAGAAGTCGCCATCATCGGCTACACCACCACCACCACCACCACCACGGGCACAGACTTCCCAGGCTTAGGCGGTTTCATCGGCGGCATTCCAACCATCTTAGGACTTTTATTCCCCTCGGTCCAAACTTCCTTGTCAAACATTCCAAAAATAGAAATAATTCGGTCCTAAAAATGGGATTTTTTAAATTGAATGCATAACCATATGTACTATTCCAAAAAAAAGACCACTTCTCGAGAAGGTATCTACAATTAAGAGGTCAAAACATTCATTTTTTAGCCATTGGATTTTAATGTGAGTACCAAGAAACCAAAAGAAATCAAGATCAGGACTTTTCTCAACAGCATCAGCTATTTTATCTATGAAACTTTTTCCGCCCTAGTCGGGGTATCTATCCCGCCTCGGAAGGGCTGAGCAAAGCCCAGTCCAGTGTCAAAACTCCTTCGACTGCGGCATCACTATTGACGCAACAAACTTCCCAACGCGGCACGGAGGAAGGAGCAAAGACTCCAAGCCTGCATGCTGGAATGCTCGAGATTAGCAGGGAGTCTTACTATTGTGAGTGCGTGATCGCAGGAATTGTGACCGCGGGCTGAAAGGTCATCGGGTCCGTGAGAGGCCATGAGAGGATGGCCAATGAATCTGGCCTGTCCTCTGTTGGCGTCGATGACATTTTCTCGTAAATAAGAAAACTATCTTGCTTCTTTTTTTGTTGCTAATACCTCTAAGCAGATGTGCCGGCGATATGGAAAAGGTAGGTTTTATTTACCGTTTAAATGTAATTTATAATATTTGAGCATGCACGAACGAAAGGGTGAATCATGGGTGTCGGTAGTTATATCGGAAAGGACCGTCTGCACCATGATCCTCACTATATGACGCTTTCGGACCTCTTAATAAACAAGAAAAGGAGTCTGCTTATTCAGCACATCAGAAGAAATGTCACCAGTCAAGTCAATATCTATATCAAGAGCCTTGTCCCCAGAAGATCTTAATAATCTGATTTCTTAGTAAACAGGAAGAAGAATATCCTGGTTGAGGGCCTAACTTTGTGCCGATCGAACCGAGGAGCCCCATTGTGGACTGAACCTTCTCATCACATCTCCCCCCTTCCTTTTTCTATGGAAATATGGACAAGTTTTCCTGGGCACGATTCTTTTGCTGCCTCGAGGGAGTCAGGAGGCAATTTGATTTTACGTTCGATTATTATCATCACTATCATTATTTAATACGGTGAGGATATATTTCTAAATCAGAAATCAAAGGAATGGAATTTGAAATACCTCCATAGCCACCTCCTCCAAACGGTCCAAAGCCTCCGAATCCAAAGCCTCCAAAGGTTCCATGTACGAGGGCCAGGGTGACAAGGCAGACCAACAATCCCAACACCTGCATAATGCGCGCCAAAATAAGTGTTGAAATTGTGAATGCCACGCCTGGCATGTCTTCCAGTAAAGGAAGTGAAGAACTACGCAAAACTAATGAAGAAATTAACCGATGCAGGACATGGCAAAAGCACTCTCGACTTTGAGTCCATTGATTAACTGGAAACACTCTAAGAATGCAATGTCCTACAGGCCACTCATATGGGACAGGAACCGCGGAATACGTGCGAGTTTTGCTTTCTTCTAAATTATCGCTCATTGTCTTTCTCGTAGAGAAGCGAATGAATATGAGGAAAAGGATCTGTATGAAAATTGTCAGTACCATTGGAAACGTTTCATGCTGTGCACGGATAATTTTTTTAAAATAGAAAATACCCTCCCTAATAACGGATATATATGAGGTGAAAGTCAGAGATCGTTTGAGTTTTTTTTAGTTGGAAAGCCTATCGCTTTACGATAGGCAAAATCCGACCGGTTAAGGACGCGACTGAAAGCGTATGGAACGTATGGAAGCTTTCCGAGCTTGCTCTTGAATGAAGAGCATCAGTCATGGCCTCGAATAAAGCGCTTTGATCATGATCTCAAATAAAGGACACCGGTCATGGTGGAGAAAGCCACCTCATCTTTGTCGCGAAAGGACACTATTCGCCAGAGCTCCTAACTAAAAGAAGGCGAAACTCACGAATTTCATCTTGAAGATCTGTGTGCAGACGAAGACACCGATGCAATGAAGTGCAATGAAGTACAGTGACCACAGAGAAACCAAGACTGCTGCTCTGGTCCGATTGCAGATGATCCACTGTGAGGTGGTCCGCTTCGGTTGGGGGTATTTATACGAGAGGGTGGGAAGGAAAATGTCCCTGACATAGGCATGCATATCATCTCACCCTTCAGGACGAACATTCAGGGTTGTTGTCTTTTTTCCCCGACCAATCCTCTTCGTGGAAGTCTTCGTGGCTGGACATTGGTGTGGACGATTTCCCCCGGTTGAATTCAATGGAAATTAGACAATGTGGAGGAGTTCCTTGCGCAATTCCCTTCACGCCCTCACAATTGATCAGCGCATCGCATTCACGGGCGAGACCTTGAAGAAGTTTTGTGTGTGTAAATTCATATTATTTACATGCCTTGCACAATGGGATTCCCAGTCGCACGACTTCGACTTGCAAAGGTGGCGACATGAGAAGTTTTTATGTTTGACGCTCTGCGTTTCATTTAGTCGCTTTGGGGAATTCATTATGGGAATTCGCCATTTACCCATTCTTTTGCTTACGTTCTTCTCGGCTTTCCCTCGTTAGCTTAGCCGTACTTTTGGACGAGGATTCCACGTCCGGCAAAGTAGTCTATTTCTCATAGATTCGCTAGAAATGTGGAAAATATTCTCCTTACGTAAGATGTAAGATTCAACCGAATGACATTAGGGAATTTAGCAAGTCAAGATACGGGTCCTTAACATGAACACTTCGCGAGCGACCAATCCAAAAATCGATTCCTCGAAAGAAAAATTCCACTGGAAAATCCCGCAACCCGAGAAATCCTAGGTATCCACGATCGCACTACCCTCAAACCCCGCCACGCACTCTCGCACACGTGGGCATCCGCCCTGGAATATTCCACGCTGCTTATCTACCGCGTATCTACGTGTGTCCTCAAACATATACGCAATAGCCGTTAGCCTCGAACGGGTTTTGTCCGGGATGCACCGAGTGTGCATTTCCACCTTAAGTTGGATAAAGAGTAGAGCACTTTGGTGTTGTTGAGCACTAGCAAATGCATCATCTTTTAGTAGTGCTCAACAACTAATGCAAGAACAATGCACCGCATTTAAGCTGCAATACCTTCTACTATGTATCATTTTAATTAAAAATGCAATACAGTATATGAAAACGACAATTACAATTCTTGGCGTATACAATCATGTTCTTTTGCAGGGAAAAATTCAGCAAAGAAAACTGACTAGTGGGCTATGACAGAATCTTTTTCGCAAAAAATGCAAACAGAAGGTGGATTCACAGCAGAAACTTTTAAAACGAAAGAAAAACGTGAAATTTGATAACCTAACACTGAAATTGCCAAAAAATAAAATAAAAATCGAGGACACTTAATTCCCCATGGCTACCATTACGGTCAACGCTCATTGGTCAACTGGAGAGCATTTTTAAGCAATTTTTTTTATTCATTTAAAGATATATTGATGTCGGGTATACTCTTAATTTCAACCCGGCAACCCTTAATTTCAATCATTGGCTTATTGAAGTTGAGAAACTAGGGTAGATTTTCTTGATTTTTTTTTTATTTCCTTGATTTAGATTGCGCCATTCCGCATCTTCATTACCCACAGTTCGCGACCAGGAGTGAGGGTGGAGCACATTTAAAAACGTGCAGAGTGAAGAGCTGGTTCGTGATGCTGCGCGCTGCTCTGCAATGCTCCTCTTGGATGGCTTCTACAAGACTGCGATCAGACTAAAATTCAAGTTTTCTCCTTCAGCAAGGATAATGATGCATGTAGGAATATTTCAAGGAACGTTGTGGGCAGTGGAGAGTTCGTCTATGGAGAGGGGATAGGCAGCGACCTCCTCTGCCTACCCCCTCTCCATAGAAGAACCACTAGCGCTAAATATCACGAGCCGCCACTGGTTGTGGGGTTTCATAGGGCTGCAAGCACTCAAACCATCGACGACATGAAGCCCACGGCAAAGGGGGAAAAAAATGAAATACCTGTATTTTTTCCTCTCTCTCGTCTAGGCCCTTCGGAATGAGCCGTTACTGCATTGCCTTAGGATTTGACTCGTTCGAATTCGCTTTTGAAGACTGGATTGGAGATCGAAGCAGACAAGGAAGAAGCCCTTGTGAACGTGTGGACGGAAATTGGACATATTCGAGCGAATTTTAAGGTATATGTATGTCTTCCCCGTAGCTATTACCTCTTCCACCTTTGCTATTTTTTGGTGCCGTCGTCAACCATTAAAACTAGATTGTCTCGTGATTCGCCATGAAAAACCCCGATCTCCCCTGCAAAAATTCACAGTTCTGCTGCTTCACTAATTGACGAATACACAGATATTATTCCCCAAAAATCTCCGTGCCGATTGCTCAAGCATGGTGCGTACGCTAAATGCATAATATTTCACATCTCTGAGCAATGAAATTCGAATCATAAGCACCTCTGTTGCCTTGATGGTGCAGTCCTGGATGGGCTGATTCAGCATGGACGATATCCTTACTATGGCCCAAATACCCTGTCCTTTTTGCACTTTCCTCGTCACCCTGGGTCAGGGCCAGGAAGCACACCAACCCCAGCAATCCCAAAACCTGTGTGGTATACGACAAAAAAATACGCAGAGAATCATCTCAGTAAAAAATCATATTCATTTGCTAGTCCAAATATGGGATGGGAAGCTTTTTATTTTTTGGAGAGAAGATTACACTATCTTGCCAAAAGTCAAGTCCACCCATGACCATACAGCGCGTTGCTTTTACCTCATCTGTCAACACGTTGTTGGGCAACCCTTGGCATAAATAAAACTCTGTGCATGGCCTGGCCAGGGAAAGTAACTTGCGTGGCTTGGAGCCTTCCATCATGCTATGATATTGCGCACTGTACTGTTCGAGAGGTCCAGAAACTTTGCAGTAGTTCGACCCGATTTTCCTGTAAAATGGCATCAAACTTCTACATGCCCCGTTAGAACTCGGTGAGTTCCCGTCGCGCTGCCGTAATGATAAGATTTCAGACCATGTACAAAATCTATACATTTATATCGATACTTGCTGCCCAGCAGTCACATGATTATGCGCCACCATGGTGAAACTTCACCATGTCAACCGTCATTTGCATGGGCGAACCTTGACTTTAACAGGTTGCAGTGGTGTATGGCAATGCATAAAAAAAAAATTAAGGACAAACTACAGTTCGTTACGTGAACCTCCTCGAACCTCCTCTTCCGGTGGGATGTTATCTCACCTTCTTTTGTTAACCTGTCAGGCCATCATCCTTCGGGATCTGTCTCGGCAAACCTTGAAATCTTCCCGCTGCTATTCTGAGAAAGGAGGTCAGAATGATGAACGCGCTGAGGGACTTGGGAGGTGAATCGGCATCGGTTCGAGAGCGTGTTTCCTGGTAGGTCCATCCATATTCAATACATTGGATGAGTTCTCTCCCTCTCTCTCTTCGTCCTCGACCAAGCCCTTTTCCCACCCCTGGCCATCCCCTTTCCCCTTTCCATCCACCCCGCGAAGCAACTGCCACAGCACGTGACATACAGTTTGATTCTATTGTCACGCCTACTTTCTTTGAAAAGGGAGTGAGGCTTCTCATGCAATCGCATGAATGTGCCAGCACGAAGCTTTCCTCGAGGTTTACTCCTGTACTTCTGTTTCAACCAACTGTTCACCACAACTCACAACTGCGATAAACTTTCTATTATTCGGTGATTGGCAGATGATATACCACCGAGATAATAAAAAAATGCTCATGTCCGCCGATGACGACCTGGACGGCACTCTTTTCCTGTGAGATGGATTGTAAGTAGGCTCAGGGATAAATTTGATCGTAGGATAATTTCGATGTTTGT